TGGGGGCGGAGGTCTTGCTACGTCCCTGGCAGACTTTCTGGGGATCTAGAGTGCAGACTTCAGCAAATTTACTTCCTGGGGAAACAGTGTAGGGTGGTAGGTATGCTTTTGAATCTGAATCCTGGCTCCATCTCTTAATAACTTTGTAACTTAATGCCACAAGGCATTGATGGTTCTGAGGTAGGCTTCTCCCCTTCCATGTGGGATACCTGGGTTCAATTCCTGGCCAGTGCACTTCATATGCAGCTACCACCCATCTGTCAGTGGAGGCTTGCGTGTTGCTAGGATGCTAAACAAGTTTCAGTAGCTCTTCCAGACTAAGATGGACTAGGAAGAAAGGCCTGGCGATTGACTTCTGAAAACCAGCCAGTGAAAACCCTATGGGTCACAACAGTCTGATGCACAACTGATCACGGGGATGGTGCAGGACTGGGCAGCATTTTGTTCCACTGTGCATGGGGTTGCCTTGAGTCAGGGCCAACTCAACAGCAACTAACAACAATTTAGTCCTTCTCTGAGCCTCAGTTTTGTCTTCTATAAAATGGGATAATAATACTTCTTATGTACAGCCGTTGTGAGAATTCAAAGAGAGAATATGCACATATGGCTATCTCTCCACTAATTAATCATCATTGTGATTGTTGTTGGTGATACTATGAGCTTAAGGGACAGGGAAAACCATGTTGTTTCAGGTGGGGTTCTCAGCTTCCTAGAAAGTACTTGATACCCTGGGGACCTTGCTTTGTCTTTAGAGACTCAGAAGAAAAGCATGGCAATCTACTAAAGAATCAGCCACTGAAACCCTACTGAGCACAGTTCTACTCTGACACACATGGGGTCACCATGAGTTGGAATCGACTCCAAGCAACTGGTTTCTCGCTATGAGTCAGATGCTTCTTTAGGCAAAGTTCCTGCAGAGACGTAACTTATATTCATGTCTGTCTTGCAGAGATAGAAGATAAACAATTAAAGCAACTGTGGATAGTGAAAGTTCTTTAAAAGCAGAGAAAGAGGGAGCAGGCGAGGGTGGGGAAGCCACATTAGACAGGGTGGTCCACGAAGGCTCTTCTGAAGAGGTGACAAATTTTTTTTTCTGTCAACCCATTTCTTTTTAATTTTTTTTACTGTACTTTAGATGAAGGTTTACAGAGCAAACTAGTTTCTCATTAAATAATACAGTTTTGTGACATTGATGGCCAACCCTATGACATGTCAACACTCTCTCCTTCTTGACCTTGGGTTCCCCATTACCAGCTTTCCTGTCCCCTCCTGCTTTCTTGTCCTTGCCCCTGAGCTGGTGTGGCCCTTTAGTCTCCTTTTGTTTTATAGCGCTGTCTAATCTTCGGCTGAAGGGTGAACCTCGGAGTGACTTCAGTACTGAACTACAAGAATGTCCAGAGGACATACTCGCAGGGTTTCTCCAGTCTCTGTCAGACCAGTAAGTGGTCTTTTTTTGTGAGTTAGAATTTTGTTCTACATTTTTCTCTAGCTCTGTCTGGGACCCTCTATTGTGATTCCTGTCAGGGCAGTCGATGGTGGTAGCCCGGCACCATCTAGTTGTGCTGGATTCAGTCTAGTGGAGGCTTTGGTAGTTGTGGTCCATTAGTCCTTTGGACTAATATTTCCCTTGTGCCTTTGGTTTTCTTCATTCTCCCTTGCTCCAGACAGGGTGGGACCAGTGGAGTATCTTAGATGGCTGCTCACAAGCTTTTAAGACCCCAGACACTACTCAAGAAGCGGTGACAATCTGAGGACAGATTTATTCAGCAACACAGAGGAAGGGGAGAGCTAAGGGCTTCAAGGCAGGGCTCAATGGCGAGTTTGAGGAACAGAAAGAACACAGTGTGATGGAGCAGAGCAGAGGCCAATTAGGATGGGAGATCGACAGAGGTCAAGTCATGGGCAGTATCTGCAGCTTAATGTGCCCCTGAAAACTCAGAGGTCTGGAGGGTGCAGGAATATTGGGGGCTCTGAGGGGAAGGCAGAAAGGGGCCTTGGCAGCACCATGGACAGTAATATCACTGTCCATGGTGCTGACACCCCAAGGCTTGGTTCCCTAGAAGGAAGAACCCATTGATTGAACAATAGGGCATCAACCCTCGGACTGATGTTCCAGATACGAAGTCAGAACTTCGATAATGACCTACTCATCATTCTAGTAAGGAGCCCCTGAGTGGTGCAAATGGTTAAGCAATGAGCTACTAACTGAAAGGCTGGTGGTTTGAATCCACCCAGATCACCTCAGAAGAAAGGCCTGGAGATCTGCTTCCAAAAGATCTGCTTCCCAAAGGTCACAGCCATGAAAATCCTATGGAGGGCAGTTCTACTCTGAAACACACGGGGTTGCCGTGAGTTGGAATGGACTAGATGGCAACTGTTTTGTTTTTTTAATCCTAGTAATAACTGGAGGAGCCCTGGTGGCACAGTGGTTAAAGCGCTCAGCTGCTAACTGAAAGGTCAGCAGTTCGAACCCACCAGCCACTCCACGGGAGAAAGATATGGCAGCCTGCTTCCGTCAAGATTACAGCCTTGGAAACCTTGTGGGGCAGTTCTACCCTGTCCTATAGGGTCGCTATGAGTCGGAATTGACTCAGCAGCAAAAGGTTAGTAACAACTGTAATTCCTTGAGGCTCTCCTATAGGCTCTGAGTCCCTGGGTGGTACAAATGGTGAACTCACTCAGCTGCTAACCAAAAGGTTGGAGGTTCGAGGCTACCCAGAGGCACTTCAGAAGAATGGCCTCACAATGAACTTCCAAAAAATCAGCCACTGGAATCCTATGGAGCACAGTTCTACTTTGACAATCATGGGGTCACCACAAGGTGGAATTGACTTGACAGTAACTGGTTTTTATGGGCTCAGCCTTTGTACTCTGCCACATTATATCCCAGCAATTCTCTGAGGGTGATATGGCAGGCAGGATAATGCCTCCTCAAAGAAGTCCAAGTCCTAATCCCCCAAACCTGTGACTATATATGTGGCAAGTAGTTGCAGATGTGATTGAATTAATAATCCTGAAATGGGAAGATTATTCTAGATTATCTGAGTGGGCCCAGTGTAATCACAGGGGTCCTTCTAAGAAGGAGGCAGGAGAATCAAAGTCAGAGAAGGAGATGTGAAGACAGAAGCAGAGATCAGAGCGATGTGAAGCCACAAGCCAAGGAACGCGGGCAGCCGGTAGAAGCTGGAAAGAGTAAGGAAATGGATTCTCCCCTGGAGCCTCCAGAAGGAACGCAGTCCTGCCTTTATCTTGATGTTAGCCCAGTGGGACCCACTTCGTATTTCCAACCTCCAGAGCTGCAAGACAATCAATCTGTGTTGTATTATGCCACCAAGTCTGTGGTCATCTGTTACAGCAGCAACAGGAAACTCATACAGGAGCCAAAGTTCAGAAAAGCCAGGTCTCTTGCTTGTGAACATACACTAGCAACTGGAAGAACTGCAATTCCACCCAGACTATCTGACTCCAGGCCTGTGAGGAGAGACCCACCCCTCACCCCTAACTGCCTCATCATCCACGAAACAGAACTTTCCCCGGGGCCTCTGGGAAGCTCGAGTTTATCTCCAACTTACCCTTGAAGAGTGCTGCTGCTGCTGTTGCTGAGAGCTACTGTCAAGTCAACCTCCAACTTGTGGTGACTCTCAAAGACAACAGAACAAAACACCGCTTGGTCCTGCGTCATCCTCTCGATTGTCGGCACATTCGAGTCCATTTTTGCAGCTACTGTGCCATCTTATCTCTCCGAGGGTCTCCCTCGCCCTCGCTGGCCCTCTACTTCACCAAACATGGTGTCGTCCTCCAGCGATTGATCATGTTTGGTGAAGAAGAGGTCCAGCAAGGGTGAGGAAGGCCCTCAGAGAGACGGACTGGCACAACAGCCATGACGACGAACTCGCACAGGCTGGTGATCCTGAGGGTGACGGAGCACCAGGCAGCACTTTGTTCTGTATATAAGGTCGCTACGAGTCAGTCAACTCAGTGGCATCTATGACTCAATCTTCCATTATCTATCTATCTGCCTACTATCTATCATCTACCTAGCTACCATCCATCCATCCATCATCTTCTCCTGGTCTCCGACCTCCAGCCTCACCCCCTCCAATCCATGCCCTTCCCAAATCACAAATCTGACTCTTCTCTGCTTAAAAGCCTTCTACGGCTCCCCATTGCCCTAAGATAGTCGTCACCGAGACTACCCCTGTGTCATGCCCCCACTCTGAGGCCAGCATGTGCTGGGGTGGTGACAGGGGCTCTGCCAGGCCTGTAGCACACAGTAGGAGCACCCTCAAGAGGCTGGAGTCCGCTAGTGGTAACATCTGATGAGGCAGTTCTTGTCATTCTCCCCGTTTTACAGGTAAAGCACTGACACCCGGAGCGGTTAAGTAACTTGCCTGAAGCCACCTAGGAAGAGGCATTTTCCTACTAGGTTTGACACCAGACAACTGGCCCAGAGTCTAAACTCTTAGTCAACGTGAGTGAGGACCCCTGGGGACAGGTCTCAGAGCACAGCAGAGATGAGCTCCTTCTGTGTGACCTCAGCTGAGCACAGTAAGGGAGCCCTGGAGGGTAAAGTCCTTGAGCCCTGTGTGTGTGTGTGTGTGTGTGTGTGTGGGGAGTTGCTGTCCTTCAGGAACTGGGCACAGCAGGGCACACAGTGAGGAACACGGAGCTCCTACACACAATAAGGCAGAGGCTGTGGGGACCTAGTAGGGGAAACAAATGGGAGTGCCAGAGCAGACACCCAGGAGCATCCACTGAACACTCCAAAAAGCCCTGGAGTGGCGCATGGCCTTCAGAGGCCCAGAGGTCTGGAGTCAGCAGCCAGAGGCTGAGCACACAGTAGGTGTGGTGAAGAGCTACCTGGGACCCAGCTGGGCACACAGTGGGTCACTGTGACAAGCTCTCGGCTGCCTCAGGCCTCTGCCATAGCCATTCTGAGCATGGAAGTTGGGGGGCTAGGGGACCCCCAGACCTGAAGACTACAGGAGGCCACTTCCAAGAGATGATTTATTGAGTGTCACTGGTCAAGGGCCTCAGTACAGCGCTGCCCCTCCCCTCAGGGGCAGGTGGGTCCAGTGTGTGGTCCTGGGGGCTGGTGGCCAGGGGAACCAAGTGGGGGTCAGAGGCATAGCAGCAGGCAGAGCGGGAAGGTGCTATCCCCACACGGCCCACCCCCAGCCCAGCCCTGGGGGGGCCCCTCTTGAGGTCCTCAGGCGTCCGCAGTGGAGCTGGGAGGGTCCTGGGGCATACCGTGTCGGTGCCGGAGAATCGACTTCTCCTCCTCCTGCAGGGACAGGTGGGCACTCATATGCATGTCACACAGCAGCAGGGCACCACCCAACACACAGGCCACCCAGCATGTGACCTTGATACACCCCACTTAACACGTCACCCCAACATGCACCACCCAACACATGTGCCACGCAGCGTGAGACCCTGATACACACCACTCTACATATATCAACTGTATCATCTCAACATGCACCACCCAACACACGCCACCAAACGTGACACTAATACACACCATTCAACATACGGCATCCATGTCTCCCCAACATACACCGCCCAACATGTGTGCCATCCAGCGTCTGGCATTTACATGGCAACCAAAACTCATGCCTCCTAACAGATTCCACCCCAAATTCACTTCATCCCAGTGCCACCATCACTTGGAGCAGGTCCCTCATGCTCCACCGCCCATCACATACGACACAGCGTGCCCCGCCGCCCGTCACGTACGACACAGCGTGCCCCGCCGCCCGTCACGTACGACACAGCGTGCCCCGCCGCCCGTCACGTA